AGTTTCAAACCATCCGATTGATAGAAAAAGCAGGAAACCTGCATCCACACAGAAAACATCCATCTATATGGGGATGAATTATCTAAACTGAATAGCAATGAAAGGCTTTAGATTGTGGAGTGTTAAATCACCTTACTGGTACAAAAATGTAAGCAGCCTCAAGTTAGAGAGCAGATAAATATTTTTTAAATTGTATAAAGTCTGTATAACATAAACTTTATCATCTTAACCATTTTAAAGTCTACAGTTCAGTGATGTTAAGTAGATTCACATTGCGGCACAACCAATCTGTAGAACTCTTTTCATGCTTCAAAACTGAAACTCTGTACCCATTAAGTAACAATTCCCCATTCCCTCCTCCCCCAGCCACTGGCAACCACCATTCTACTCTCTGTCTCTGACTTTGACTCCTCCGGAACCTCAGATAAGTGGAATCATATAGGATTTGTCTTTACGTGACTTGCTTATTTCACTCAACCTGATGTCTTCAAAGGTTCATCCATGTTGTAGCATGTGTCAGAATTTCCTTCCTTTTTAAGGCTGAATAATATTTAATTGTATGGATAGACCACATTTTGTTTATCCATTCATGTGCCTATGGACACTTGGGTTGCTTCCACTTTTTGGCTATTGTGAATAATGCTACTACAAACATGGTTGTGCACATATGTCCTCAAGACCCTGCTTTCAATTATTTTGGGAATATACCCAGAAGTGTAATTGCTGGTAAGTCTATTTTTAATTTTTAAAGGAACCATCATAATGTTTTCCCTAGTGGCTGCATCATCTTACATTCTTACCAGCAGTGTGCAAGTGTTCTAGTTTCTCCACATCCTTGCCAAGTTTTATTTTCTTTCTTTCTCTTTTCTTTTTTTGATAGTTGCCATCCTAATGGGTGTGAGGTGATATCTCACTGTGGTTTTGATTTGCATTTCCCTGATGATAAGTGATGTTGAGCATGTGTTTGTTGGCCATGTGCTTTCATGTGCTTGTATATCTTCTTTGGAAAAATGTCTATTCAAGTGCTTTGCCTATTTTAAAGTTCAGTTGTTTGTTTTTTTGTCCTTGAGTTGTAGGAGGAGAAGAGGTCTTTTCATGCTCATATCTCTAGGACTTCAAATAACACCTGCCCTGAAAAAAATATTTGTCGAATAAATATGTCCTGGGTCTCTCTGATTGAATAATCTTACTTCAAGATTTGGTATAAATCATGACCAATAGTTAGAGTTAGAAATTCACAGTGATAGATGCAATATAATAATATATTAAGAAGAAAATTTTTTAAGACACAAAGAAGTACATTTTAGACTCTACCACTCAGGTGGATGAATGTGCCATGGACCGATCCAGTCTACTTAGCTCTCCTGGTACCTAAACGAGATTTTGTGTCTATCAATTGTGGGGATGGGAGAGCAGAGAAGGGAGAGAGGCATTTAGTTACAAACATCAGCACTTCTTAGAAAAATACATATGTAATAAAGGTGGTATCTTAACTTAGGCGTTTAAACAAAACGTCAGCCCATCTCTCTTAGCCACCATCTTTGATTTACTTTAAGTCACTTCCTTCCTATGAAAGGCCCTCAAATCTTCTCAGCCAAGGCTTAGAAGGAGGAAATGAAAAAACAATTGGGCTGCACTTCCCATCTTGCCACTGGATGGCAGTACACCCCTGTATGCCTTCCCAGAAGAAGCCACCTCTCCATCACGCTACATAATCTTGATTTGCCCCATTGGAGACGTCCGTAGACCAGAGATTTTAGCAGAATCACTTGTTTTTAAAAATCTCTCCATGAGTTTCTGTAGTAGGATGGTTAACACCCTTCTTCGTCATGTTTACTCCAGAACCCAAAGAACCTTGGCTCTAGCATCTTCTCTTGTGATATTTCTTCCCTTCCACCAAGTGTGCCTTTGTCCTCTAAGCATCTTGTGCAAATAACTGCTCAATGATACCACCCTGTAACCAGTGACTTAGAGCATCTGTTCTGCACTGTACTGAGGGGAAGGAGAGGTTCTTATCTGACTTTGCATCCTGGGCATTATCATAGTACCTGTCCATAGTTGGGTAATTGATCAAGACTTGCTAGGCGAACCCATCAAGTAGAAGAAACATAGAGCAATAAATGCCCACCAATATGTTCAGGTAACATACACACTACACATACACCTCAAACTAACTTCTTTTTGCTGAGTAAAAATTTAATACATACAATTTGATAGGTGATAAATTATATTCTTTTAAAATTTGCATTTCTGTAATTATAGCTAATATTGAATATTTCTCAGATGTCTATCTTCCTGTTTCCATTTGTATTTTTTTCTGAATTATTTCCTTCTGACCTTTGCCATTTTTTTTTTTTTTTTTTTTTTTTTGTGGTACGCAGACCTCTAGACCGGGGCACGAACCCGTGTCCCCTGCATTGGCAGGTGGACTCTCAACCACTGCGCCACCAGGGAAGCCCTGACCTTTAAACTTTTAAATGGACTAAAGATATATATTCTTAAGAGATAAGTTGCCCCACCCCCTGCTTTATGACCGTCACACTGCCCTTCTGTTATTAATTAACCTCATTCTATGCCTGTGGACCAAACATCTTTCCATCTTGAGCTTGGTGAAAGGGTACAAGACTGAAATACATCCCCAGCAACTGTTCTTTCTTCACCAGGTTGATGGACATCTGTCATATGCACATTACATCAGGTCTTCCTCAAGGTAACACATTTGTAAAGATCATGGTGCTAATGATGAAGATAAGAATGGTTAATTAACACTTACTGAATACTTAACACATGTCAAAGGTCAACAAACTTCTTGAGGACATCCATCTCTTTTACTACGTCAGATAACCCTCCTGTGTGGCATACAGTGTATGTTCCACAATAACATTATTATTATGTACGAAGAAACTAAAGCTTAAAGAGAATAAGTAACTAATCTGATAAAGAGTGGATTTAACCCAAGTCTGTCGCATGCTCTTCACCACCATTCTACTCTGCTTCCCTACACGTAAAAATAGTGAGGATGTCATTGTGGTGATCATTTTGCAACATCTACAAATATCAAATCATGAGGTTGTATACCTGAAACTAGTATAATGTTATAGGTCAATGATACTCAATTTAAAAAAAAAAATAGCGAGAATGTTAACTAAGGTAACATGATACAGTAGCCCAAACAGGACAGTAGCTTCACAGATCCAATTACAGGGTATCCAAAATGAGCTCTAAGAAAGCAACTTCTACCTAAAAATTGTATTTGGGGTGGAGGGGAGAAAAGGGCAGGAGGGAGAAAAGCAAAAGCACAAGCAAAAAACAAAAAACCCACGTCACATAAAAGAACATATGGCCTTTGTACCTGGGCCTAAAAGTATCAAACGCTCCTGAGCGCTGAGGGCCCTGCTGCCACCCAAACACAGGCCCAACAACCAGACTGTGCTTCCCTTCCCTGTCGGCTGACCAAGTTACTGCAACTGAATACTCCAGGAGTAATAATACCAAAGCCTCCGCATGCAAAAGAGCTCAAGAGTTTCGAAAGCAAGATTCTCAGCCTTTGAGAATGACAATTACCTATGCAGAAAGGGAAGCAGGGGGGCAAGGAATCTAAAAGAAAACAAGAAATAAAACTAAAGATGTCTGACACCCCATTACCCCTTGGGAGGATATCATCCTACACTAAGGATACATAAGGCTACTGTCTTCAAAGTCAATGCTGCAGGCAGAGGGACATGTCCCCCATTTCATTCCAATGTTACATACACATTCCAAGAGAGGTATTATCAGTGTTCCTTCCGATGTTCTAATGAGCACATGCGGAAAAAAAAAAAAAGGTGTCTGAGGTCATGAAATCTGGGAACAGAAATGAAAATTCATAGCCAACCCAGTGTCATCCGTGGCACAATGTAGCAGACTGGAAACTCCTTGAGAAACAGGACCCAGTAATCCCCCTGAAGCCTTATGCTGGATGTCCGCCAGACACCCAACTAGCACTTTCTACCCAAGCGGGCAAAACAACTGTTTTTCCCACTAACACCTTAAGTTACCAACAAACAAATGTTTATAGCTTAATATTTAAAACTTATTTAGGTTAAACCATAAATTTTTCTAAAGCCTTAACGTCTAAAATTTATTTGGGCAGAATAAATATACTTTTATTAAAATAGCACGTTTCTAGTAGCACAGTCCCATGCTGGAGGTTTAAGAGGAAAAACAAAAAACTTGGAGCTGCTGCCCAAAGTACTGAATTAGCTCTGGAAGTTGACATCACCACGAGTGCCTCCTGAAAGAATATTCCATCCATTATCTGCAACTTGCAGGTGCCAAATGATTTCCCTCATAAATGCTCAGGCTCCAGAGCCAGAGGCCGAACAAGTGGAACCAAAAGCCCAGGATCTAGAGTCAGAAGACCCCCCCCCATGTTCAAGTCCAAGCTTTTCCAATACTGCTTGTGCGACCCTGGACAGGTCAATTTGCCAAATAACGCATTTTTTAGGAGGGGAAATGCCTGTCCCACCTACCTCAAGGCAGCATCAATGTTGTCATTAAGTGGAGAGGCTGCTCCAAGGGGTCACTCGCCATCCTGCCTCTCCCTGACCCCGCCCAGGTCCAGCCCAAGACGGAAGGAGTTGGAGACCCTGCGGTACCTCCTTCGCGTAGCTCGGGAAAGGATGCTAACCTCACCGCCCTCCCCTGGGGACAGTGGCGACGCGCGCCCTGACATTCGCCGCCGCCGCAGCGCCGAGCCACCATCCACACGCGCCTCCCGCGTCCCTCCCTCCGTGTTTCCCAGGCTCGCCCAGCGCCGACCCCCAACCCGCCGAACGTCTCATTTGCCCCCTGGTGGCGCATGGACCCCAGCCCGCGGGGGCTGCACCGCCTCGCCTCCCCGCGCCAGCAGCTGCGCCCGGGTTGGGGCCAGACCCCGATCGGCTTCGCCCCCGGAGTCTCGCCTCCCCATCTCCCCAGGCCCGGCGGGGGCGGGTGGTCGCGGGGCTGCGGTTTCTTACCCGGGAGCTTGAGCGCCCTGGACAGTACGGTCGCCATGGCGGAGGCCCCGCTGCGCGTGCGCGCTCTCACGTCCTGCCGGGAAGTGTAGTTCGCAGTCGGGGTGCGCGGGATCAGGACCTGGAAAGGTGGGAGCCGGAGCGCGAGGCAGGGCCGGGAGGAGGGGCCGGGCTGCGGCATCCGCGCCCACGTGAGCACTCCTCCCGCTCTACTCCGCCCCCTCGAGGACAGACCCCTTACTGGGCAGGTCATTTCACCACTCGGAGCCTCACTCTCCTCCTCGGTGAAATGGGGCAATAATACACCGCATAGGCTTGCAGTGAGCGTGGAGTGAGACAATAGATAGTAAAGGAGGGCCGGGTTGTGAAATGCGTGTAGGCTTTGGAGTCGGACGGGATTTGAATCCTGCCTGCATCCATCACTCGCTGGGCCATCTTGGGCAAGTCACTCGGTATGGCTAAGCTTCAGCTTCATTTTTTAAGTGGAGACGTACCACCTACTTCATGAGCGTATTGTGAGGATGCAATTATATAATCTGTTTAAAACACGCAGCACACAGTAGGCACCTAGTAAATGTGTTTCTCTATGTTTCTTAGGTAAAAGTCGAGGTTTCCTGGAGCTCTAAGCCTCATCTCTGGTTACCAGTTCTTTCCAGGTAATCCACACAGCACCCTACCCCGCAGCTTCTAGCTTGAAGGGTCTAAGGAAGCAAGAACAGACCTGCTTCTTCCCCACAGGCACCAGGAGATCGGCATTTTACTCCAGGAATGCTGAAGATATTATTCATCTTAGAACTGAAACGGACCTTAGAGGCTCCTTGTTTTACTAAAGAGAAAACTGAGATCTATAAAGGTGATGTGACTTCTCAGTGTCAAACAAAAATTCTAAGATACCTGTCACTTGGACCGCTTCATTCCCGTGAGAAACTGTCCTAGGACAGTGCCGCAGTTACAGTCCCAGAGATTCTAACAGCAACCCTCACCACCCTTTTCCCCATGCAAAAATGTCACTCACTCCGACTGAGCCGCAGATTTCTGGAGCCAGGCCACATGAGTTCAAATGGACTCCACCATTTCCTAGCTGCCAGATCTAGGGCTAGTTGCTTAATCTCTCTCTGCCTCGATTTCCTCATCTGCAAATTGGGGATGAAATAGTTCCTATTCCACAGAAGTAGTCTCGAGAATTAAATGGACACATGCAAAGCACTTAGAACAGTGTGTGGCACCTCGTGTTTTATAAGTGTTAGCACTTCTTTTTATTAACAATTTATTATTTTTGACAATTTAATAACTTAATAATAAATTTAATAACACTTTAATGGGTTAGTAATTTATTTGTTTATTCTTTCTGCATACAATACCTGAAACTTCTACTGTTTGGCACTTCTCTGGAGGTATGATTAAAAAAACATTTTACATCTATGAGGGTCATCTAAGAGAAGCACCATTACAGGTCACAATAAACCAGTAGAGGCTTGCCTGAAATCAGATTAGCTAACTGGAACACATTCTTGAGATATGAAGCCTGAGAAAAATAACCTTTAAGGTGAGTAGGATCTGTTTTTGCTGTAGACTAGGAACTTGGGTTTCTAGGAGAGGGTGCAGGTGGACTGAAACAGCAAGGTTACGCAGGAGAGAAGGAAAGAAAAATCTGTCCACTTTTCTTAGGGAAAGTCCCTTCTTATGTGACGAAAGTAAAATAAAATTGTACAAAGTCTGATTAAAACTTTGTTGCAAACTGTATCGTCACCCAAAGCACCCGTGTGGGTACACACACATGTGTGCACATAAACATGTGTAAGGGTATATGCATCCCCTAGATGTGACATCTCTAGCCCCTTTTTATGCCTAATCTTTGTGGCCTCTCCCCTTGCGGAGCACAGGCTCCAGACGCGCAGGCTCAGCGGCCATGGCTCACGGGCCCAGCCGCTCCGCAGCATGTGGGATCTTCCCGGACCGGGGCACGAACCCGTGTCCCCTGCATCGGCAGGTGAACTCTCAACCACTGTACCACCAGGGAAGCCCCATGCCTAATCTTTATGGCATTTCCTCTCCCCCCCCACCCCAATCATCACCCCAGTTTTGCCCAAATGATTTTCAGGGGGAAGCAGATGCCAGGAATCCCTCCCTCTGGCTCCCTGACGCTTCCTCCTCTTTGACACTGTGGCCCCCTCCGGAAATCTCTCCCATCCCCTCCACATTTTTTTTTTCCATTTTAACACCGGGACCACAGCTTAAAACAGTGATTCTCACATTTATTGTCCTTTTCTTCAATTAAAGGAAAAAATTCAAAGCGGCCACCAAACAAATCAGAATCCTAGCCTTTAACCTAAAGAAAAGCTGTCACATCCTCTCTAGCTGACTGAGTGCCTCGCTGCACAGACACCCGCTGAGGACACCCAGGCTTCCTGACTTCCCAACTTGGCTTACCTCCCAGAGGAGTGAAACAAGGGTGGGCTGGGGAGACAAGCCTGTGGACAGCCTACCCTGCCTGACCACTGTGCCTGCCATGAAGAGAAGAAACTCTGTATCTGAAGATCACAGCTAAAGCCAGAAGAGGCTCTTCTCCCTGCAAGGATCTGCAGTGGGATTGTTCTTCCCTAACCTTCCAAGGTTCGTGGTGGGAAGCCATATTTACTGGTTCTTATAACCTTTGTGATGCCCCAAGTATTGCTCAAAAATCTCCAAATGTCCTACATGGGCTCATAAGCAAATCTGATCATCTGGTACTTCCCATTCCCTAGACACCGTGGCCTCTTCTGCTGGTCCTGCCCTCCCACTAGCTTTTGCCACTTCCTCTTGGAACAAGTACCAGTGTGTGCACAACAGCTGCCACCCCTCCCTCCCAGCGCTGCCATAACAAGCCTCATGGGCATTTCTGCCTCCTTTCAAAAACCGTTACTTCTTCCTGTATCTCCCACCAGTCACTGCCACTTCATATCTGAGTGCTGGTGAAATGTCAGAGCTGTTCAGCGCAGTGACAACTGGGGAAGACTGTCTCTTTCTTCTTTTGATGTTATACTTGATTAGAAAAATAAATGCTGTGCTGCCTATTCTTCAAGGTCAAATGCAGTATTTTCATGAAACAGTGCTATTTATTTTTACCCAGTGAGTCAATCGGGGCAAGGTTATTGCTGTTATCAACAACCTCAAAAGTTCAGTGGTTTTAAAGAATAAGAGTTCATTTCTGCTCATGTCACGGTCAGGGTGAGGGCAGGGATAGGCAGCCCTGAGACTCTCTATTCCTCCAGTTCATTCAGGGGCCCAGCTCCTTCTGCCTGGCGCTTCTTCATCCCAGGGCTTCAACTCCCCCACTGCATCTCCTGATCATGCAGGAAGTTTTATGGGCCAGGCTGGAGGTGGTATATGTGACTTCTACCCACACTTATCTGGCCAGAACTTAGACACAAAATATGTGTGCCAGGGAGGTACGGGCCCAGGAAGAAAAGGAAACAGTTTGGTGAGCATCAAGCCAGTCTCTGCTACACTAGTCACCCCACATATTTATAGGATACAGACCTAAGTTCTTGGTGAAGGGGAGGGGCTTCAGGCTCTGCTCTACTTGGAACTGCCCTTCTCTTCTAGGGACCAAAGCTCTGTTCCTGAGCTGAGCTTGTTGTCCTGAGTTAGGACTTGCCATGCGTCTAAAGTTAAGGTCTCCCGGGAGGCTCCTCAGCCCCTCCAAGGGTGGCCGTTCCTGTATCAGTCAGCAGGGCCTGGACAAGTCTGAACTCACTGGTAGACCCACCTCAGGCTCAGAGCAGTACCCTCTGCTATAGGGGTGCCAAAATGATTGAATCAAGGAGCAATACGTATGAGATCAAAAAGCAAAATGAAAATACTGTAGCAAATAGCAATGACAGCAGGGAGATGGAGAAAAGCAAGAGAGGAGCTCAGCAAAGATTTGGGGGTGAGATGCAAATGTCAAGGATCCTGAGACATCAGCCTTGCACTTGGATCAGGAAGTTCGAAAAGGGCAGGTACAAGTGGCATATTCACGTCTCATCACAGAGAACCTGACTCTACCACCAGGAGTTGCACGGCTTATCACGAAGACAAACAGGTTTATGTTCCCAGAGCATCCCCTAATAAAACACAAGGGCTCATCCAGATTAGACTCATACAGACTCCCAGTCTATAAAACTTGCTAGACTAGTCTAGCCTAGACTATAAAACATCCTCTGGGCCCTGAGATTGAAACAAATGCTGCTTAACAAGTCTCTGGCTGGAATGTATATTTAAGAATGAATGAAGAGATATGGGAACATATGTATATGTATAACTGATTCACTTTGTTAGAAAGCAGAAATTAACACACCATTGTAAAGCAATTATACTCCAATAAAGATGTTTAAAAAAAAAATGAATGAATGACAGTGTAATTAAGGACAGACTCACCCAGGCCACTGTAGCCCTCCTTCCTCTAGGCCCTCATCATAGTTTGTTCCTCTGTGTTCCATTTACTGAGCACTTATCACCTACAGAGAAGACACTGTGTTGGACCCTTGCCAAACTTGATCCAAAACCCAGCCCTTCACCAGCTTCCAAAATACAATCCGGTGGACCAAGCATATTGTGACTTGTGTAGTTTTCCTGAAGATTCGAGGGGGAGAGAGAAGGGGTCACAGGGCGCATAGCGTTTCACCAAAACAACCCGTGAGGCGCGTCTCTTCTCCCAGGCCTCTGCTTCCACTCCACCACTCTGTCTTCCTCCACGAGGACCCTCTTGGGTCTGTCCCACTTTCAGGCTTTCCCCCCTTCTCTTTCCTGCCTCCTGCTGCCTTTCGCCTCCACAGGAGGCTGGAATCTCACCCCCATCCTACAGTGGGCAAAATCTGTTCATGGAAGCTGTCACTTCATACAAGGGAATTCTCACACAATGTTGGTTTATACTCACAAGTATCCTACAAGGTGGGTATTACCACCCGATTCTAACAATGAGGATATGTGAGCATGGATGGAATAAGCCACTTGCCCAAAGGCACAGGGTTGCTAAGCACTTGAAGGAGGATTTGAATGCAGGCTTGTTTAATCCTAAGAAAGAACACGGCACATGTGCTACAATCTGGGCTTTCTTCATCCGTGGCACATGTCAATCACACACCCTGCACCGTGAGCCTACACACAGCTTTAGAATCCTTAACCCAGCTTTCCCGGGAGCCACTATCTATCAATTTGATTCAGCCTAAAATTTTAAAACTATTTGTAATCCCTGCTTCACTTATAGCATACTAACCAGACTAAAAACCCCTTCAAGACAGACTTCCCTGGTGGCGCAGTGGTTAAGAATGCGCCTGCCAATGCAGGCGACACAGGGTCAAGGCCTGGTCAGGGAAGAGCCCACATGCACCGTAGCAACTAAGCCTGTGCGCCACAACAGGAAAAGCCACCACAATGAGAAGCCCGCGCACCGCAAGGAAGAGTAACCTGCGCTCGCTGCAACTAGAGAAAGCCCGAACACAGCAACACAGCCCCCCAAAATAAATAAATAAATTTATTTTTTTAAAAAGACGGTACGTGATTCATGATAGGTGTTCAATGTTTGAGTGTGGCTGATATTTGGCCAACATTTGTTCTAATTGGTTGG